TGTGACTAACGGGACCAACGTGTTCTCTGACTAAGCCCTTGGCCCCAAGAACAGCAACCACTCAGGCTCTGAAGGGACCAGGCAGTGTGGCCGTGGGGTGACATCTGGAAGAGTGGAATGTCATAATGTGGCAGCTAGAACTGAATCACCTCAGCCCGGCCCAGGAGACCTGCTGCATGGACAGAATGCCCCGGCACAAACCCCCCACTTCTCACAGCTGAAACAGCCACAGCTGGCCACCTGGCCCCTGCAGGCTGGGCAGAGACGGGCAGGGCTGCAGTGGGGCAGGAGGAGGAGATGGCTCTGCAAACTCTGGCCAACCAGCACCTGGCTCCAGCCAGAGGCCCCACCTAGAGACCAGCTGCCCACCATCTGGCCTCCCAGCTGTGCTGAAGGACAGGGTCGGGGAAGCCCTCAGAGCTACACTCAGCCTCACTGCTAACCTGCAGTGGGAACTCCAGCTCCTGCTTCCTGCAGAGGCCAGTTCAGGGCCCAGCTGGCCTCCCCTGCCCACCCTGAGGAGCACAGAGGCTCAGAGCTTGCTCTTGACATCTGACCGGCTTCAGCTCTAGCCCTGGCTGTGTGACCCGGGGAAGGTCACTCCATCCCTCTGAGTCTCAGTTCCTCTGTCTGTAAAGCTGTGGGAGAATAAGTGCGGAGACTTGCAGGAAATCCAGCTGGAGCCCCAGGTGGCCCGAGCCAATGTGTTTTGACCAAGGCAACTGGAGCCAACTGGAGTAAGGAGATTTCACTGGACCCCCTGGAGGTGGACGTGGAGGGCAGCCAGGCCTGGAACCAGGTGGTGGAGAGCTGTCCCCCTGCGGGCTCTCCTGGCACTGCTGTGTCTCCGGTCCAGCTTCTCTGCTTCTCTGTGCTCACAGCAGCCCGTGGCTCAGATGTCCACAAAGGACCTGCCCTACCTTGCTGTTGGTCACCCTGGCCCCATGCCAAATTCACATTCGGCCACCAGGGCCCATCCATCACCTGTTGGTGAAGCACAGAGAAGGTGGGTGGCCAGACCCGTGGAAGCAGGAAGCTCTGAGCCGGGGGCCCCTCAGGGACCAGGCAGAGACTGCACAGTCATGGTCACTGCTTTAGTCCTAACTGCCACGTGCTGCCCACAGATCCCACGAGTGACCACCAGCCTGGGCTTGTGTTGCTGAAGTCACTGGGTTGAATATGTCCAGCAGCGTTTCCGGGGTGGAGAGGTGCCAGGTCAGAAGGCTCCAGGAGGGCACCCGGCTCAGTCCCCCTGCTGCAGTCTCCCAATAGGAAGAGCCCTGGCGGATGTCCTGTCACCTGTCACACAGACCTTTTCCTCTGTTCCCGCCAAGGTGGGCTCTGTGGAGGGAACGAGTGTGTGATGTGCTTCCAGTCCCTGCACTGCCCTCTTGAACGTCTGTGCACAGAAGGCCTTCAGCCGACTCCCGGGGGACACCTGCTCGCCCCTGTTAAAGGCAGCATTTCCCGAGTTTACTGGGGCCTGAGGAGTGTATTTCATAGGCTCCTGCCTGTTATCAAGCCCAGGAACCAGTGGTCCAGACAGGCACCACGGCCAGCGCGTCCTGAGAGGCCCATGCCTGCCAGAGCACCCCAGGCCACCCAGGCCACCCCGTGCCACCCGGGGGCTAATCTGAGAGCAGTGTGCTTTGCACAGCGGGCTTGCACCTGCCTCCTGCCCTGCTCCAGTCCTAGTGGGTGCTGACGGACAATGACAACCTGCTTCCTCCTAGCCAGGGACGGGGGTGCAACCTGGAATCCCAGCTGCTGGGGACTGGGCAGCACGGCAAGCTTGGGGCCCGCCTGGGCGCTTCGTGAGACCCTGTCTCAAAATAACAAATAAAAAGGGCTGGAGGTGTTCAGTGGTGAAGCTCCCCTGGTCCAATCCCCAGGGCACATAAGGATAAGAGGGGAGGAGGAGGAGGGGGAGGGAGTAATGGAATTCCTTACTGCCAGCCAAACGCAGGTGGCCGAGCCTGGGGTGAACATCAGGTTCCCTGAACGAGGCATTCTGCCATGAAAGAGGCCAGGAGAACTTCTACAGCAAAGAACATCCTAAATCAACGATTCAAGCACACCTTGGTGGGGCAGTGGCTAGAGGGGCCGCAGGCAGCCAGGCGGGAAGATGACCCTCCCACAGGCATCAGGTGGCCCCGCATTCCCAGCCTCCCGCTTCCCCCAGTTCCTCTGGATGCACCCTCTCCGCGTCTATCCCCTTTCAATTTATTCAAAGAAAACCAACCCTCACGAGGAGTCTGACGCACACAGAACAGGCGCCCGCCAGCCTCCTCCGGCTGGTAGATCTCAAAGCTCACCTGCGTGATTCACCAAACCTTCCCAAACCCCAGGACGAGCAGAGACCAGGGGCCACAGAAAGGGAGATTAAAACTAAAGAAACGGAAGCTCGGACCCTGCCCTCGGGGCTTACAAACCTCACAAGTTATAATACAAAACCTCAAATTATCCATCAGGAAAAGGATAAATGGGATGAAGCGTAGGGGGGCCCAGGGTGAGGGGCGGGGAAGGACAGCCCTGGCCTGCTCCACTGACCTGGCTTCCCGCCAGGTGTGCTGGAAGGCTCCTTCTCCCCCAGGTTGACCTCCAGGACACAGCAGGTCAGCGGAAGCTGCCTCCCAGGAGGCAGAACTGGGAGCAGAAGCTGTGGTCACCCCCGAGAAACAGAGCAGGGGAGAAGAGGGGGATCCCTCCAGAATGTGGGGAAGGCCCTGCTTCACCCTGACCTCGGCCAAGGGAAGCGGAGCCGCTGGTCTTGTTCCCAGGGACACTCAGTAAATGCTGCTGACTTCCTGGGTGAATGAAGACCCCGACTGTGGCCCGCCGGGCACTGACCGCAGCGTGAGTGAATGAATGGACTTGCTCTTGCCGAGAGGCAGACAGACACCCAGCTCGGGGTGCACAGTCGGTGCCGCACACGCCCCTCCCTCACACAAGCACTCGCTCTCCCGCAGCCCACCAACCTCTATCTTCCCCATGGAGCCAGGCGTGGACGGGCCTGTTCTGGAGGCCAGCCTCTCTCCTTCCCAGGAGAGCGTCTGATCTCTGGGCTGTCAGGGCAACCAGCTACTTGGTCAATGGCTGAGGTCTTATTCTGAGCAAGGCTTCGGAGTCCCTTAGAGTGACCAGAGGGAGTCCTCCCAGAGAACACAGGGACTGGAAGGGCACCCAGAGGCAGGAGCCTGCGGCCCCAGCTCCAAGCCCCAGCTCCCCGGCTGCTCCTGAGCTCTTCCTCCCCGGCACCCCCAGGGGAGGCAGCTGCATGATCCTCCTGCGGCATGCGCCTTCCTGCCTTTCCCACCAAGAAGGGCCAGGAGGACCGGCTGGTCTCCCACACTCCTTCTTCCCCGCCTGGAGACCCACTGAAAGCAGGATGGTGTCTGGCTCCTCCCGGACTCTCCCTTCCACACCTGCACACAGTCGGTGCTCTACAGTGCATTTCCGTGCACTGGACTCTGTGTGGTGGACTTTGCAGGGGGTGTTCTCCTCTGACCCGCCAGTGACCCCCATCTTGCATGGTGTCCTACTTTAAAGCAAGGAGACTCAGCGGCAGGAAAGCTCAGCGCATCCTTGGTTCTGCCTGAGGCCATTGAATTCTATAAACCGTGGCAAATTTCATAAACTGTGCTTTGTCTGGGTATGAAGAGCTCACTTTGCTGATATACAGAACTCAGCTCAACACACCATGCAAATGAGAAGCGCCCAACTATGTTTCTATTATGTTCCTAAAATAGATTGGCTGCTGGCAGACAATGCCTCCCTGGCCCCTCCTCTAGAGCAGGGCTACCCTAAGACCAAAACCAGGCAAAGCCAGGGCCCTGAGGATGTTTGCCGTGGTTCAGCACTATCTTAATGTGGAGAAACTTCTGGTGATTTTTCTCATGAAAAAGTCCTCAGAGCATTATTCAGCAGAACAAAAAATTTGATGAAATGTTCGTGCTATTTTAAAATAGCTAAATCAAGGACACAGCGTGCATTTAAAAGCCACTGCCAAAAATATGGCAAGCATCTTCCAGAACTAGGAAAGGGATCTGAAACATCTGTGTTCAATTTCCACTTTAGAGGAGGTGGTTGGGGGATTGATAAGGATTGAGCTTTGCCCATAATTATAGTGATTCCTCCAAGGAAAACTTGGTCAGCTAACCAGTACCTGGAAATCAGAGAGAACAAGTTATTTCATTCTCAGAAGAGCAGCAGCTGTGCGTGAACTCTCAAAGGCTGCAGAGGAACCAGCCCTCAACCAGAATCCCCTGTGCAATATCTCATGGGAAACAGCAACAAAATGTGAGCAGTCTGCAACACCAGGCTCTGTCCTGAAGGTGCAGACCCTCCACCAACCATGAAGGGCATCAAAACCTCAGGGAGCAAAGACACTGGATTTACTGATCACAGTTAGTGGTGGGGAGGGGGTGGGCAGTGAGCTTCAAGGTTCCTTTTACAAATGAACAACAAGCCAGCCAGGGGTCAGGGGGAGGCACCCAACCTTCAGGTGCCAGTGTTACCTGTGGTTCTTCTGGAGGAAAACCATGTGCTCTGGGCATCTGAGAATTATTCAGCCAAACAAAAAACTTGGTGCCCTTGAGCCACATTCGAGAGTGGCTGTACAGTTTCACACTCCCGCCTGCAAGCAGGAGGCTTCCACCCTGAACTCGGCATCCTCTCCAACATGGGGTCTGTCCGTCTTTTTTTTTTTTTAATCTAATTCTCCATCAAATTTTTTAATGACTTTATGTATTTATTTGTTATGAGGTGCTGCGAATTGAACCCAGAGCCTCACACGTGCTGGCCAAGCACTCTACCACTGAGCCACCACCCCAGCTTGTCCGCCTTTTTAATTGTAGACATCCTAATGGTACAGAGTGCCACAGCAAGGGAAGGGGCCAAGGAGAGGCAGCTACCTCCTAGGCTCTCCCAGGAAAGTGGGCGTCAATACCCAGAACACCAAACACCCCTTCCCAGCATCAACCAATCCAGTGTCTGCTCACCTGGTGTCCCCACACCTGGAGTAAGTGGTGTTATGCAGCTCCTGGGTCACAGTCCTTCCAAAACCTGTTGCAATAAAATCACAAGTTTAAATCCACACTTGAAAGGCAAATGTTCCCCTACTGATTGTTATTAATTTGCCTTCACATCATCATTTTAAAAAATACTCTTTAAAAAAATTGAAGTAGGTTTACATATAATAAGTTGCACAGATTTTAAGTGCTCATGAACTTTCACATGTAAGTACACATATGTGTAAAAGTTCTACAAGCTTATAGTAACAAAAACATCATGGTATTGGACCAAAATAGACATGTAGTCCAATGGTACAGAAAAGAGGGCACAGAGACAAACCCACATAAATACAGTTATCTCATACCAGACAAAGGCACCAAAACACCTGTTGGAGAAAAGATAGCCTCTTCAATAAATGATGCTGGGAAAACTGGAAATCCATATGCAATAAAATGAAACTAAACCCCTGACTCTCACCATGCTCAAAACTCAACTCAAAGTGGATCAAGGACCTAGGAATTAGACCAGAGACCCTGAGCCTAATAGAAGAAAAAGAAGGCCCAAATCTCCATCATGCTGGATTAAACACAAATTTCCTTAACAAGACTCCTAAAGCACAAGAAATAAAAGCCAGAATCAATAATAAATGGGATGGATTCAAATTAAAAAGCTTCTTCTCAGCAAAAGAAACAATCAATGAGGTAAAGAGAAAGCCTACATTTTGGGAGCAAATTTTTGCACACACATGTCAGGTAGAGCGCTAATCTCCAGGATATATAAATAACTCAAAAAACTTAACACCAAAAAACAAACAACCCAATCGATGAATGGGCTAAGGAACTGAACAGACACTTCTCAGAAGAAGATATACAATCGATCAATAAATATATGAAAAAATGTTCAACATCTTTAGTAATTAGAGAAATGCAAATCAAAACTGCTCTACGATTTCATCTTACTCCAGTCAGAATGGCAGTTATCAAGAATGCAAACTACAGTAAGTGTTGGCCAGGACAAGGGGAAAAGGCACACTCATACCCTGCTGGTGGCACTGCAAATTGGTGCAACCAATCTGGAAAGCAGTATGGAGATTCTTCAGAAAACTTGGAATGGAACCACATTTGACCCAGCTATCCCACTCCCTGGTCTACACTCAAAGGACTTAAAATCAGTATATTATAGTGACACAGTTACATCCATGTTTATAGCAGCACAGTTCACAATAGCTAAACTGTGGAACCAACCTAGATGCCCTTCAGTCGATGAATGGGTAAAGAAACTGTGGTATATATACACAATGGAATATTACTCAGGATTAAAAGAGAATAAGATTATGGCAGAATATCATGCTAAGCAAAGTAAGCCAATCCCCCAAACACAAAGGCAGAATACTTTCTCTGATAAGTGAATGCTAATCCATAATGGGGGAGGGGCGCATGGGATGAGTGGAGGAGCTTTGATTGGGCAAAGGGGAGGGCGAGGAGGGGGAACGGGGTTGGGAAAGATGGTGGGATGAGATGGACATCCCTACCCTAGGTACATGTAGGATTGCACAAATGGAGTGCCCCTCCTTCGTGTACAACCAGAGATGCAAAAAAAAAAAAAAAAAAAATTGTGCTCTCTTTGTGAATAATGAACTGCAGAGCTTTCCACTCGCTGTCACGTGTAACTGGTTAGAACTAATAAATAAATAAAAACATTCTACGAGCTTTGGCAAATGCACACATGCCCCTAACACAAGGCAAACAACTCATCCCACTTCTAAAATGGAAAGCCCACAGCTGGAGAGGCCCCTTGTTCCCAGGTCCACTTGGCAGCGGGTGGTCACCCGAGAGACCACCTCCTCACGCAGATATGAAACCACTTGCATCACCTCACATTCCTTGCAGGCGACCCCTCAGCCTTCAAAGACAAGCAACCTCTGGTTTCTACAATCAGAGGTCAGTTTTTCCTGCTGGACTCCCTGCAGGTGGGATCGTGCAGTATGCACATCTGGGGGTCTGGCTTCTTTCTCTGACCATGTGCTTGGATTCATTCACATTGTCACCTGTGTCAGGGTCTCCTTCATTACTGAGAAGCACTTCTTCTATAATAAAATATGTTAACAATTCCCCTATTAATAGTCACTGGGATGTTTTCACCTTCTGACGCTTACCAATCCAACACCCGTGAACATTCTGTACAGGTCTTCTTGTGGAAGTTTTTGTTTCTGTAGGGTAAATACCCAGGACTAGAACAACTGGATCATACAGTGGGTTATATTTCCAAGAGACTCCTAAATGGCATCCGAGGTGGCTGTACAATTTCACACTCCTGCCAGCAATGTGTGGGACTTTGGTCGCTTAACATCCCCGCCATACTTGGTCTCATGGGTCTTTTAAATTGTAGACATTCTAATAGGTACAGAGCGCTTTCTTTCTCTGGTTGTAAAAAGTATATTCACACTATTTGTGTCTTCAAACTTGTACTTAGGGTGATGGTGTCCATCTCATTCCACCACCTTTTGTACCCCCCTGCCCCCTCCCTTCCCCTCCAACCCCTCTGCCCTATCTAGAGTTCATCTATTCCTCCCATGCTCCCCCTCCCTACCCCACTGTGAATCAGCCTCCTTATATCAGAGAAAACATTGGGCATTTTGTGTTTTAGGATTGCCTAACTTCACTTAGCATAATATTCCCCAACTCTATCCATTTACCTGCAAATGCCATGATTTTATTCTCTGCTATTCCTGAGTAATATGCCATTGTGTATATATGCCACAGTTTCTTTATCCATTCATCAACTGAAGGGTGTCTAGGTTGGTTCCATAGTTTAGTTATTGTGAATTGTGCTGCTATAAACATTGATGTGGCTGTGTCCCTGTAGTATGCTGATTTTAAGTCCTTTGGGTCTACACCGAGGAGAGGGATAGCTGGGTCAAAATGTGATTCAATTCCCAGTTTTCCAAGGAATCTCTCTACTGCAGAGCGCTTTCTTATCGTGGGTTTATTTTACATATCCCTGATTATAAAGATGTTGATCATCTTTTCATGTATCTTTTAGCCATCTGTAGTCATGTATGTGTGAGTGTGTGTGAGCGTGTGTGTGTGTGTGTGCGCGCACGTGTGGTACTGAGGCTGGAACCCAGGGTCTCATACATGCTCAGCAAGCCCTCTGCCATCAAGACACATCCCCAGGCCTTTTAAAATTTTATTTTGAGACTGAGTCTCACTAAGTTGCCCCACTGGCCTTGAACTTGAGGCCCTCCTGCCTCATCTCCTTAGCGTGGGGATGACAGGTGTGGGATCTCATTCAGCTTGTTCATTTTCCTATATGAGAGGGTCCGTTCAAGTCTTCAGGTCTTTTGCCCATTATCTAAATGACTCAACTTTTCCTGATTGATCTTTAGGAATTCTTCACATATTTTGGGTACAAGTACATTGTCACATCTGTGTGTCATGGAAATTTCCTCCCAGTCTGTGGCTTGCGCTTTTATTTTTACAATGAAGTTTTTAAATTAGCAGGATTTTAAAATGTTGGTAGAATTTGTCATTTTTTATTTCATGATTTGTGCTTTCCATGTGTTGAATAAAGAAACCCTTCATTAGTGGCCAAAGAATAAGAGGAGGGAGCTTTGTTCACAAACCAGCTTCTGGGCCCCAGGAAAGGGGTTATAGATCCAGGATGGGAGTGATGAGCCAGAGGGCCAGGCTGATAAGGGAGGAAATCCTCACACCTCTCCTGGGATAGACGGAGATCTTCCTGGACCGGTCGCCTCCCCTCACTCCTCTGTGGTCTGGTGTTTCTGGTCATGGTGGCTGAGGGGGTGGGGTGGGGAGACGAGGCAAGTCCAGGTCAAGCTAACCCCATAAAACATCTCACAAATGTCCCACAGGCCTGGTGCGGGGCTGAGCGGAATCTGACCCAAGGTGAAGGCCGCCAAGGGGACAGACACAGATGAGGACAGAGATCCAGCCTTTCATCCAGGTCCAGTCCCCCATGAGGCATCCAGGGACCCAAGAGAAGGGTCAGTGTTTTCAGCAAAAGCTGCCTCAGGTCCCTGAAGAGTGACCTGGGCAACGCTATCACAGAAGCCACGAGTCAGAGGTGCCATCTACAGCAGAGCTGGGGGAGACCAGCCGTGCCCAGCTGCGTGACCTCCAAAACCAGGGGGTTTTAAGTCAACTGAGCAGGTGAGGCAGGAAGGTTTGTTTGGGTTTTCCCTCAGTAGAAAAAGACGTTATATTCTCATTCTCTCTCTCTCTCTCTCTCTCTCTCTCTCTCTCTCTCTCTTTCTCTTTGGGGGGAGATACTAAGGATTGCACTCAGGGGCACTTAACCACTGAGCCACATCCCCAGCTCTTTTCTGTATTTTAGAGACAGGGTCTCACTGAATTGCTTCGGGCCTCACTAAGTTGCTGCGGCTGGCTTTGAACTCATGATCCCCCTGCCTCAGCCTCCTGGTCTGCTGGGATTACAGGTGTGCACCTCATGCCTGGCAACATTATTTTCTTCAGTGAATTATTTTGGTGCCTGTTGAAAATCAGTTTGGCACTGTGGAGCTTGATTTCCTTTCTCTTTTTCTTTCTTTTCTATTTCTATGCCCAGGGGTGCTCTACCAGCCCTTTTTATTTTGAGATAGGGTCTTGCTAGTTGCTCGGGCTGGCCTGGAACTTCATCCTCCTGCCTTAGCTCCTGAGTAGCTAGGACTACAGGTGTGTGCCAGAGCAGCCAGGTTAGGTGATGGGATTCCCGAATCTCTGCCGAAATCCCCTCTGTCTGCATCTGTGACGCATCTCTCTCATAGCTATTGTGCACAACTTGCTTGCCAATCCTAACATCTGTGTTACCCATGAATCCATGAAGCTTCACAATAGGCCATTTTTCCTCTTGACTGTGGGTCTCATTTTCTGGGTTCTTCCGTCTACTCATTCTTTATCTAGGCTGGGCATGGTAGGCAAGACTTTGCAAGAGACTCTGGAGTCTGTTAACTCTTCTTAAGAGTCTCAAATTTAGTTCTAGCAGGTAATTAATATACCTCAGTTCTGCACATCACCTTGACCTTGGAATTGGTTCTAGGCTAAGTTACAGTGTTTCTGTCTGAGTTTTCCTATCATAGTGCTTAGTCCTGGAATGTGGTCTTAATTCAGAGGCAGTCCTTCTGGAGTTTCACTGAAAGGCTCCGTGTGTTTACGTGGGTTGGTCAGCTTTCTGTCACTGTGACAACATACCTAACATAATCAACTCATAAGGAGGAAAGATTTATTTTGGTTCATGTCTCTTGGCATCACTGCTTTGGGCTCTGTGGCAAGGCAGGGCCACATGGTGGAGCAAAGCTGCTTATGTGGTGATGGCCAGGAAGCAAAGAAAGAGACTGAAAGGGGTGGGGTTCCAGTATCCCCAGAGACTTAACTTCCTTCCCTTAGGCTCCACTTCCAAAAGGCTCCACCAGCTCCCCACAGTGCCATAGGCTGGTGACCAAGCCTTCAGTACCTGGGCCTGTGGGGGACATTTCCAAACCATAGTGCCAGACTCCTCCAGCTTGCTGGGGCCTGAATTTCTAGTATTGTCTCCCCAGCACTAGGCATGACTGGTCTCTGGTCAGCTCTGTGAGGCCTCCAGCTGTGGCTTTCTAGCAGCCTCGGCCCACACGTGCAGAGTTCAGTGCTCAGCCATGGATCTGGACAAGTTGGTGGCTTGGACCTCAGTCCTCCGTGGGCCCACCTGTTCCAGGATTCCCTGCTGAACTGGCAGCTGCCTTTGTTGTTCCAGACCCTGACATCTAACTCCTCGGCCCAGGGAGCCTGAGCCCCAGGCCCGGGGCGCCTGGAAGATGGGGAAGGAAACAACTTCAAAGGTTGTGCCATGTCAGCCTCCATCCACACTGGATGACCCTGGGCCTCCCCATATCTGTTTTCTACACTTGGAGGCTTAGCATTGTCGTTGGCTAAGATTATTTTGAAATAGTCTCATTTCCCTTGTTAGGAGCTGAAAGTTCTCTGGCAACTGCTTCTTTAAAACCAGTTGATTTAATAGTTAATAAATCCCATGCTGGAGAAAATTGATTCTATTGCTAGTCAATAACTATTTGTAGCATTTCTCTTCCACAAGTACAAAGAAAATTGGTTTTCACATTCTATTTTAGATAGCACCTTATAAAAGAGATCTTTATTCAATCCAACCATAAACATGTCCTAGCCAGGAGTGGTGGTGCACACTTGTAAGCACAGTGCCTGGGGGGGCCAAGGCAGGAAGACAGCAAGTTCAAGGCCAGCCTGGGCAACTAGTGAGACCCCGACTCAGAATAAAAAATGGGGGGGGGGGCTGTTGGGAGTGTAGTTCCACGGTACAGTACCCTGGGTAAATCCCACGTTCCAAAAACAAAGTTTCCTAAGCATTCATGGGTCCATAACCCTGGACAAGGCTCTCTGGGGGACCAAAGGGCGACCTTGGTCTCAGTATCAAGTAGCCATAGAAAGCAGCTCCAGGGTGTTTGAAGGGTGGGGAGCGCATGGGTTCAATCCCCAGCTCCCAAAAGAAAACCATGGTGTCCTAAGGGGCTGCTGGGGAACTGGTTCTGTGTGCTGGACACCGGCCACCCTCAGCTATTCTCCTGGACGTAATCACTCAGGGACGATATCCTCCTACCCAGGCTCCTTGTTGGTGCAAAATTCCTGCCACTAGGTAGCACTCAGTGAGAGGGAAATTCAAAGCAAATAATGCCACAGACTTCAGCATGTAATGGTCACCTCTCAACATTAGTAGTGACAAGTTCACACCTTTCAGAACCCTCCAGAACTGCTGCCTCAGCCACAGAGGGGCGTTCGGGGGTTCTGAGTGGACCCCACGTGGAAGGGCATTTTAGGAGATTCCTCTGGCTTCAGAGCAGATCCAGTGCAGACACCCAGATGGGAGTTCAGATGGCCACAGACGTTGGACTTCAAAGTGTGTCCCTCTAAAACAGGACTCAGATTTCACAATCATATGCCCTTTCCCCACTCTTATGAGAGTCTTAAAGGAATGCACAGTCCCCCCAAATCTGAGAATCCCTGGTTTAGAACAAAACATTTTGATTGTGGACACAAGGAGTGAATATGTGTTTAAAAACCCCACAAGTATTTGCATCCTTATTCATGTGCAAATGGTGCTCATAATCTATCATCATTAACTAGTATCAAGGTACAATATCCACTTGGAGATGGGTTAATAAATATTAGGAAGTACAAATTTATGTTTCCAATAGTTTGCTAATGACTCATCAACTCACATCCCATTTGACAACCTTCTGCTGGGGCCAGTGAAGAGCATTTGCACTGCTACCTGGAGCAGAAAACACATTTCTCGTGTCTTTGTCATGTTGTGTCCCTTCTCCCTGTGAGAACCCAGAGAAGATCCTATTGATGAGGAATGAGCCTCACCACAGAGTCTGCTAGCACCTTGATCTCGAACCTCCCAGACTCCAGAACTATGAAAAATGAGTTTCTGGAGTTTTAGTGGAGTGTGTGGGATTGGGGTAGTCTTGGTAGCACTAGGGATTAAACTCAGCCCTTTAATTTTAATTGTGAGACAGGATCTCTTGATGTTGCCTGGGCTGGCCTTGAATTTATGATTCTCCCGCTTCAGCCTTCTGAGTAGCTAGGATTATCAGCATGCACCCCTATGCCTGGCAATTTCTGTTGTTTACAAATTTTCAACCTAAGATATTTTGTTGCAGCATCCCAATATGAATAATAGTATGTATTAATATTGCCATTTAGAGGTGAGAAATGATACATTTTTTGAGTTCTTTATATATCCTGGAAAGTAGTGCTCTATCTGATGTGCATGTGGTAAAGATAGATGTTTTCCCACTCTGTGGGCTCTCTCTTCATGTCATTGATTGTTTCCTTTGCTGACAAGTAAAATGCAAATCAAAACTACTCTAAGATTCCATCTCCTTCCAGTCAGAATGGCAATTATCAAGAATACAAGCAATAATAAGTGTTGACGAGGATGTGGTGAAAAGGCACACTCATACATTGCTGGTGGGACTGCAAATTGGTGCAACCAATCTGGAAAGCAGTATGGAGATTCCTTAGAATACTTGGAATGGAACCACCATTTGACCCAGCTATCCACTCTTTGGTCTATACCCAAAGGACTTAAAATCATCACACTATAGTGACACAGCCACATCAATGTTCATAGCAGCTCAATTCACAATAGCTAAACTGTGGAACCAACCTATATGCCCTTCAATAGATGAATGGATAAAGAAACTGTGGTACATATACACAATGGAATAATACTCAGCAATAAAAGAGAATAAAATCATGGCATTTGCAGGTAAATGGATGGAGTTAGAGAATATTATGCTAATCAAAGTAAGCCAATCCCCAAAAACCAAAGACCAAATGTTCTCTCTGATTAGTGGATGCTGATCCATAATAGGGGGCAGGCATGGGAAGAATGAAGGAACTTTGGGCAAAGGGAAAGGAGGGGAGGGGAGGGGACATGGGGGCAGGGAAGACGGTAGAATGAGATGGACATCACTACTTAGGCACATGTATGATTGTTCATATGGTGCAATGCTACATCGTGTATAACCAGAGAAATGAAAACTCATGCTGAATTTTTGTACATGAATCAAAATGCATTCTTCTGCCATATATAAGGATAAATAAATAATTTTTTTAAAAAGGTGAGAATTGAGGGTGCTGGGCCTGTAGCTTAGTGGTGGAGCACTTGCCTAGCATCTGAGAGGCCCTGGGTTCCATCCCCAGCACCATCCACGTAAATAATTGGAGCTGAGAACCAATTCTAACTTGAGAGCCATCTGGACTGGGAAAGGGTGGCCAGAGGAGAGGTCGTGATGCCCTAGGACCCCTGAGGGTCTGCAGCGTTGTGTGTGGATCCCCAGAAGGGCTCTCTGGCTGGGCAAGGGTTGGGGTCTGAGAACTCTGTGGAGTTGGGACTAAGGCTGAGGTACTCAGGCCCCTGTCTCTGGACAACAGCACTCTGGGGAGAGTGAGAAGGGGAGGGACTGGACTCCCTGCCCTTGTTCAGCACTCACGTTCTCACCAGGCAGCAGATGCCCAGAGAGGATGCTCAGTGAGGGTGGAGAATGAGTACGACCCAGGCACCCTCTCCAAAAGCAATGAGAGAATTAAAGTTAGAATAAGAAGTGACACGAAGCTCTGATGAGGAGACGGGGAAAGGCACGTGACAGTTTGGATATGGGGCACTTCCTGAATGCTCAGAGGTGAAAAGACTGGATCAGTCCATTTGATGGATTCATAACTTGAATGGACTCCTGGGTGGTACTGTAGGCAGGAGGGGTGTGGACGTATGAAGGAGGCTACGGGGGCATGCTCTCGTGGGATTATATACCTTGTCCCAGGCAGCTGCTTTCATTGGCTTCTCCTTCTCTCGCACCTTCCTGGCTGCTACACCCTGAGCTGAGCAGCCTTCCTCCACCATGCCTCAGCTATGATGTGCTGCCTCACCTCCCGGACAGAGCCAGGGAGTCAGCCACCAGCCACTGACACTCGGAAACTGAGAGCCCCAAAGAAACTTTTCACCCTCTAAATTGTTCTCGTTGGGCATTTTGGCCACAGCCATGAAAAGCTGACTACCAGGGAAAGAAGGGGTAGGTCTTGGGGAGTCAGGGAGACTCCCTCCCAAGGGAACAGTTGGATCTTAGACAAGGCTTTGGATAGGGGTCTCTGGCATCTCCAAGGGGACAGCTGCCAGGTTTATCTCCTTTAAGGTCATGCCTCAGCCTCCAGCCCAGCACCTAGCATGTACCAGGTGTGGAAGAAGAAGTGAACTGATGGGAGCAACCAGGCCCAGCCACCTTGAAGTTCTCCCCAAACCTCAAACACCCCAGTGGCTTTCCACCTCAAGCCGCTGCCAGTGGTTACTCATCAACTCAAGATGACAGCTAACACACTGGGTAAGAAAGTGAGGGCTCTGTGAACCTCATCTAATCCTGCAATATATTCTTAAATCCACTTCTGTAGAGGGTGTGGACCGTGAGTTTCAAGAGCTCCATTCACTCAAGTTTCCATCAAGTGCACTGAGAGCAGAGGATGCTTCCCATCCTGGAAGCTGGGAACACACAGGTGAAGAGTCAGGTCCTGGCTCACAGCCGGCCGACAGGGTGGATGCGAGCACACAGGTCGGTCGGAGGGTGCAGAAACACAGACATCTACACTGATTCAGAGAGCAGTGCGAGGAACGTGCCCAGGAGGGCTGGCCATCTGACATACTGACCCCAGAGCCTCGCTCTTGCCCGCTCTGGCGTGGACTCAAATCTCGCCTCATCATGGTGGTGAGACTCAGTCTGAACCACGACCTGTGCCCATCCGTCTGGGCAAACCCCTCGCAGCCCCCCAGAGCCCGCCAAGCCTGCCACTGCCTCCCCTGAGGTGCCCGCTCATCTGTACCTGGCGACCCGGAGGTCATTCCACCAGCACCTGCAGCCAAACAATTCCCAAGGGGACTGTGCTCCTCTGCTCTGGCCTGGATCGCTGCTCCCCAGTTCCGCCCGGCGAGGTCCTGCGCCCCGGGTGTCTAGGGCCCCGCGGGTCCACCACCCTGGCATCCTCAGCCCGTCCCCTACCCGGGAGTTCTTCGCGGGTCCCAGCCACCTTCAGCACCTGTCCTCCCGCTGTCCTCGGCCCCGTCCTCCCAGCGCCCCTGGTCTCCACCGTCCTGTCCCCGGGCCTCCCTGC